TGAAGGGCGCATCCAAAGACAGTCGACACTGGGTGGCGCGAACGGTGCTGACCCTCGCCAGGACCAGCCAGAGCCGACGCTGCCGACTTCGATTTTGACCGCTCCTTCTTCGACCAGCCGGGCCAAGGCAGAGTTGCCGCGACCAGGCGTGGGAATGCCCGCGCACCAGGGCGGGGCAAATATATTTACGCCCCGACTGTTTCACGCTGTTTCGCCACCCCCAGCTCCGCAAATTTTAACAAGTTGCACTGTTTCACGTTGTTGAACAACGAAGCCTGTTTTCATATGCCTTTCGGAACATGAGAGGGCCCACAGAAACCAAAGAGTTGAACTCAAAGAACGCACGGCAGACTATAAGGTTGACGCCCTTTGCATCCAGGAGGCCAGGACACCGGAAGCAGAAGTGCAATTTGAAAATGATTACCACATTGCTCTATCAGGAGCCGACTGCGCCAGTAAAACTCGGGCGGGTGTTGGTTTTATTACTGCGCCACGAAAGCGTAGAGATGTCAAAACACGCAAACGAGTTTCCGACAGGATTTGCGTTTTAAAGTTGCGCGCGCAAGTTCAAGCGCTCCGCGTGCTTGGGGCGCGCGCGCCCCGCGACCTCCGACCGCCGGAGGAGCGCATCGACTTCTTCAGCGCGCTTGATAGATAATGCCATGCCTGCTGCGCGAACTGCGGCAACTTGGTTTTGGCGACCTGAAATCACGAGTGGGCCGAGCACGTTTTGGCGGAGATGAAGCAATGGGTCTGCGCGGCTAGGGGCGGGGGGCCGCGCGCGAAATGGAAAGGCCAAGTAGAGATTTACTCTCGGGGCTGCGCTGTGGGATGGTTCGGCCATTGCAAACGCGCTGAGATCTGGGGGCACAAATGACTTCCAGCGAAGCTGGGGCATGACCGCTCGAGCTCCAATCGACATGCTCGCGCATGACATCTGAGATATTTATTGCACGCCTGGCGCGCTAGATTTTATCGAGTTGCTTCGGGGTCGGCGCGGCGCAGCATTGGCTATTGATTATTTCCTTGTCGCCTGCGCGACGGTGCTGGAGATGCCCCCCGACGCGAGACCAAACCGCGCATGGGCGGACGCGGCCGCGTTGGGCGACGAGGGGACCCGCTAATTTTTGCTCGGGCACATTCTTGAAGAACGTCGAACCAGCATCAAAGGACGCGCGCGACACGTGGGGCAAGGCAAAAGACGCCGTGGACCGCGCGAACTTAAGCTGCCGCACAGGGAAAGCGCAACGCAACAGCCTGGGCGATCAGGGGCAATTCTGGATTTGATAGCGCGAAGGAGCCAGGCGGATTCCGAAACCATGCGGCGGAAGAGAAGCGATTGTTGAAAGAAGTGCGGAAGTGAACAAGAATCGACAAAACGACATGGGCGGACAAATGCAGCCAGTGACGGGGTTGGGCGTCCTGAAAAAAGCATGCCGGTCGAAACCACGGAAACGCAGCATATTCTGGCATCTGCGAGGCGAGTTGGTTGATGGCAGTGAGACGGCGGGCGCGATGACTGAGTATCTGGGCGAGGGAAGTCCAGCCTGCGGGAGTATTGGGCCGAGCGCCATTGGAAGCCCTCTGACCCATCAACGACGCTGATTTAGCAGTCAAATACTTGGGATTTGCAGCGCCAGACTTCTGACGGGGAAAAGCCTCCAGACCAGGCGGCGGACCCGCAGAGTCTTGGAATGCTTTGGCAAAGGGCGCCAGAAGACTAGCATGGATTACTTGGTTGGTGAACGCATGTTGGAAGGAATAGCGCGCGCCGACGGAGTGGAAACACGGCGACGTGATTGCCGTCTACAAGAAAAAAGGCCCATCGACCAATGCGACGACCGCCGCCCGACCCAGTCTGACGCGCGTCATTTGCAAGTAATTGGCGATGAGATTGCCGGGTGGCCGCGTCGAGCCGGGGCCGGGAACATACAAAAAACAACAAAGCAGTTTGGTTCCCAGAGAGGGGGGGGCACTTCCGACGCTGTTCACGCCGCGCGCAGACGTAGCGACATATCTCGCGCAGAACGGCGCGCTTGCCCTCGACTTGAAAGGCGCCCGCTTCGATCGGCGCGACCCCCCTGTTGCGCGCGCGACGCAAATTTGGCGTGCCTCCACGAATGTTGTTTTGCAGTGGCATTGGATGCGAAACAGGTGCTCTTGCGTGGCAGGCGGGCGACAGAAATCACGCACCAGAAACCAACAGTCGGGAATTGCGCAGGGTTGCCCTCTATCGCCCTTCCTGTTTGTAATGGCGATGGATGTGGCTATCAAACATGCAGAGGATGCTCTGGACGAGGCATCAGTAAAGGCACTTGCTGCCTGGGGTTCGTCTATCCCACTGCGCGCCGATGGCGCTCTCTTGGCTGGGCGGCGCGCGGGTCAATTGCAAGACTTAGTGGGCGCAATCGCAAATGCAGGAGCAGAAGTGGGAATGCAGCTTCACTGGAATTGATTTCAACTGGTACCAAGAGGCTTTGATATCAAACTTTGAGACCCAAGTGGCACTGCCATCCCGACGGCTACTAAAAAAATGAAGTACCTGGGGGACAACCGTTTACAGCTCCGACAAAATAAAGTTCGATTTAGGCAGACGAAAAGCACCCCGGCAAGGTCCCGGGAGAAGCCCCCATAGCACTCCAGGGGAGGGCCATTTTTCGACACCCCTCACGAGGATCGTGGCCTCCCGGGGGGGAGCCGCAATCGACTGCCCCCCCTCCCGCCCCAAGAGGCCCCCAAGAGCCCCCCAAGAGGCCCTGGGGGCCCCCCAGGCGCCGCCAAGGAGCCCCAGGAAACTCCCAAGAGGTCCCCAAGAGGCCCCCAAGAGGCCCCAAAGAGGGCTCCAGGGCCAGCGGCATGAGCGAAGCGACGATACGAAGCTACAGCCAGGCAGAAGGCTTGGGGCAGCTTGGGGGCAATTTCAGAGATGACCCAGGCGTTCATCAGTATAAAATGAAAAACTGAACGTACTCGGGGCATTCGTTACGTCTCCAGTTATGTATGATTTGAACTTTGCCAGGCGAAACAAGAGCGGCAGACGACGGTTAAACCATTTCCAGGCGCGTTGCTTTTTGACATGCTCTCAGCATTCCACACTCTTGTATTACAGTGTTGTCCAAATGTCCAACACAAATGTTTTACAAAAGCCGGGGGCTACACCATGCAGTGAGCAATTGTTTCAGCAACAACTTTCGTGGTTTGGTAAGATTGGGCGCAGCAGCGAAGCAGACGCACTCCGGAAGAATAACTCTCCCAGCCGGGCAGCGTGAGACCGGTTGCCGATTCTCTTGCATGGGGAATTGGACGCCCTTGGGCGAAGTGTTTGTATACAAAATGTTGCAGCTATTTTAAACATGATTCTGGTCGGTTACAGAGCGTCGAAGACAAACAACAATGGTGTCGCTTCGTTACAGAATGCGTGGATGTAGACGAGTGATTCGGCATCACGCTTGTGCTTGGCTGATTTCTTTGCTTGTTCCCTTCTACCCCTCTGCGCGTGCATTTTGATGAAATTAGGCGGGAGGTCTGAACAAACGGGTTCCTGAAACATGAGTGCGTTAGCTCTGTGCCCAGAAACCATCGACCCCGCCAGTTGGGATAAACGTTGTTGTGCATTGCCAACGCTGACCCAAACGTCACAACTCATCACGCATTCTGTTTTACAGTCGTGATGCGTTCTGCTTTTCTGCTTCGCAGTCGTGAAGCGTTCCGTGTTCCTGCGTCGCAGCACTGCAACGCGTCTGTCTTGCCCACGCGTCAATGGGCTTATGGTTTCTTGAGTTGACTTGGGTGCTCTGTCGGCCCAACTCCCCTCATACCCTTCCTCCGATGATCGAATGCACGCTTGTCTCATAGTGCGTTTGGTGTTCACTGGCTCTCTGTGTCAACACCCCTCTGTGCTCAGCCCCGCGTGGCCAACTCTAGAGATGTATATGCGTTTTGCGACGGTCCAAACGTTCTATGCCTCCGGCCCTAATGTGGGGAACTGTCACCGTCATCATTTCTCCTCCATCTGCTCAATCTCTCAACGACCTCCTGGTCCCCCTCGCTCTCCGCCTCCTCATTCTCATCATCTCCATGTGCTTGAATCGGCACCCTCCTCTCTGTGCACAAGCCCGCCGAAGATACATCAGACGATGCGCCAAATCCTACAAGCATGCAGCGGATATCAACAGATTCTGGGGCAGCCCAGCCGGCGGACCGAAAATGGATTCCAACAGATTGGAAGTGATGGGTGGGATGGTTGGGGTGTCAGATGTGGCGCGAGCGCGCCCAGCCTGCCCCGCCCCCTCCCCGCCCCCGCCCCTTTTCCTCCCCACCCCGCACCTTTCCTCTCTCTCACCCCCCTCGCCTTCCCTCCGCTGGTTCTGTTGCCCCACCCCTCAACCCAACTCGTTCCCCCTTTGTCCCTCTCCTCCTGCTTCCCTGCCCCATCCCCCCGCTGCGTACCGCCACCACCATATATCTGTCATCTCTGCTCCTCGCCACCCTCACCCCCCCCTTCATCCACACCCTCCCTCTCGCCTTGTCGCCTGTGGGGCTCGCATCGACGGGGGCCAGTCTTCTTGAGTCTCGCTGTCTCCACCCTCCATTCCTTCCTTCCTTCCTTCCTTCCTTCCTTCCTTCCTTCCTTCGTTCCTCCAAAAATTCCGCCTCAGGCTGCTCATCCTCCATTCCTCTTCGATCGCATCATCCTCCCCTATTTCTCCTGATTGGTCCCCTTCCCTCGCCTCTCGTGAACCACCGCCGTCTCCTCCTCCCTCCTGCTTTTCCTGGGCTTCCTCGTCATCTCTCTCCCCCCGACGCCTCGTCCTTTCCGTCATCCGTTGCCCGCTCGTTCGTCGGTCTCTCCGTTCCTCCCCTCCCTCGCCCTCCCTCCTCCTTCTCCTCCCGCCTCCTCAGCCTCGTCCCCCCTCGTGCCCTTCCTCTCCTCCTCTCCCGCTCCCTGCCGCCTCCATACCCCCTGCCCTCGGGGGACAGGGGCCGCCTGCGCTTCGCAGGCTGGATGTCCCCCGGCCGCGAGCAGCGCGTGGACACGCAGGAGCTGCGGAGCCGCGCGGACAAGGCCCCGCCGCCGCCGCGCGCCCAGCGCTGCCGCTCGGCGCCGCCGCGCACACGCCATCCAATCCAATCCAATCCAATCCAATCCAATCCTCCTCCTCCTCCTCCTCCTCCTCCTCCTCCGGCCTCCTCGTGCACCTCCGGCCTCCTCTGGCCTCCTCCTCCTCCTCCTCCCTCCTCCTCCTCCGGCCTCCTCCGGTCTCCGGCCTCCTCCTCCTCCTCCTCCTCCTCCTCCTCTTCCTCCGGCCTCCTCCTCCTCCTCCTCCTCCTCCTCCTCCAATAATCCAGTGTGCTGGAATGCGCTGCTGGAGAATTTACATGTCGAGATTCGTGATCGTATCCTGTGTAGTGCCTTCTCCTCCTCATCCGGCCTCCTCGTGCACCTCCGGCCTATTTCTCCTCCTCCTCCTGCACCTCCGGCCTCCTCCTCCTCCTCCTCCTCCTCCTCCTCCTCCTCCCTCCCTCCTCCTGCACCTCTGGCCTTCTCCTTCTCCTCCAAGTTCCCGACAGCAGCCCCGCACTGGCCCGACAAGATTCGGAGGAGGCCGACGGCGAGGACACGAGCAGAGAGGGGGGGGGGGACGAGGGGCGAGGCGACAGGAGAGAGGGCACCCAGGGCGGCCGGGGCGGCGCAGGTTCCCCGCCGGCACTCGGCTGGGCACAGTGGGGGGGTGGGCGGGGAAGAGGACGGTGAGATGCTCGTTTTGGGGCTCTCGTGGGGGCCGCCTGAAAGATCTCTTCGGCTCTGGTTCGGATCTGGCTCGACTCTAGCTCGACTCGAGTTCTACTCGAGTTCGACTCAAGGCGACGGACGTTGTACGCAGGATCGACGCATGAGTGGAGCGGGTGGCTCTCCCCAGAACGAGCGTCGAGCATCCCTCTCCTGCTGCCGCTCCGAGCAATCACTTTGTTGTCGTTGGTTGAGGAATGTGCCCAGGAGGCTTCAGACCCTGGAGGTTGGAGGCGGCTGGGGGGTCTGAACTGGTTGGGGCCCCAGAAAATCGGTCAGGAGGCGGCATGAAGCCAAGTCTGCTCAAAATCGGTCCCCGGACCCCTCCCGTGGTGCTCTGGTGTAGTTTTTCACCCCAGATCAGGTTTTCACTGTCCGAGGGCCCGAGAATGGCACTTGGATGCCGAAAAAGGGAAGAGATTGTCTCGAACCCAGGGCCTCGAGCTTCGCCCCACCTTCCTGCTCGCCAGAACCAGGGCCACCTCAGACTCCCCGCCCCTTCCAACCTTGAGGGTTCCTTATTTGATGCGGGAGTCGGCGATATCCATGGCCAGTCCACGATCGGAGTTCCGCCAGTTTCCAGGCCCTGGATTCCTTGTCCAGTGGCTCCTTGCAAAATGCACTCACCGTGCCTTCTTGAAGCTATAGTGTGCGTTTGAAGCCCAGTTTGCTTGCAGTCAAGACGCTGACGTGAGGACCGCGTTGGGCCCAGGAGTGGCTATGGTGTTCGACCACGCAGTAGATGTATGTCGGGGAACCTTTTCGTCGTACCTTGCGATTGCAAGATGGTTGCACGCCACATCTGCTGTCCTCAGGGTCAGAGACAGAGCCCGAGCAGGCGAACGAGCCCGCGGCAGGCGAGCAGAGGAGGAAGGGAAGAGAGGGGCAGCCAAGGTCCGCAACAGGAGCTGGGCGCGACAATAGTACCGTGCTGGTGGTTGTGGGTCCGGTTGTTACCGTGGCTACACTGGCGTTTGTTTCCAGAGGTGGGGTCCGAGCAGATGGGGTCGGAAGATCGCGCCGCATCGCCGATGCATCGGCGATGCTGCTCGATGCGGAGCCCGATTTCCTCCACGCCGACGGCGCCGATGCATCGACGAAGTCGCCGACGCATCGCCGTGGCATCGCCGATGCATCGGCGATGCATCAGCGATGCGGCGCGATCCTCCGACCCCATCTTCTCGGATCCCATGTGAGAGACGTGTATTGATTCAGGCGTCAGGATATGGATTGGGAGATGTACTTGTAGTTGCATTTGCTGTGGCTCGTGCCCGTCGTTGTGTTGAGCGTTGTGCGATTATGTGTTCGTGCGCTGTTGTGGTCGGTGTTTTTTCGCTACCATCCCGTGGTGTTGGGGTCCCCGTTTTGAAGAGACGGTGCCCCGCGTCTCATCCTCCGCCTCTCCTCCTCCTCCCCCTCTTCCCTCCTCCCTCCTCCCGTCACCCCCCTCACGTTGGCACACCCCTCACACGTTTCGTGGCCCCATAGAGAGCTCCACCGAAGGCCCCAGTGACTGCGTTCACATGCCGCCACCCCTCCACTTTGGCACACCCCTCACACGTTTCGTTGCCCCCCAGGCCCGTTGGGGGCTCTACTGAAGGCCCCAATGGCTGCGTTCACATGCCGCCTCCTGTCCACTTTGGCACACCACTTAAACGTTTCGTGGCCGCATAGGGCGGCTACACCGAAGGCCCCAGTGGCTGCTTTGACATGCCGCCTCCTGTCCACTTTGGCACACCCCTCACATGTCTGGTGGCCCCATAAGGGGGCTCCACCGAAGGCTCCAGTGGCGTTCACAAGCCGCCTCACGCCTCGATCGTTTCGTGGCCGCAAAGGGCGGCTCCATCGAAGGCCCAAGTGGCTGCGTTCACATGCCGCCTCGTGTCCACTTTGGCATACTCTTCACACGTTTCGTGGCCCCATAGGGAGCTCGACCGAAGGCCCCAGTGGCTGCGTTCACATGCCGCCTCCAGTCCACTTCGGCACACCCCTCACACGTTTCTTGGCCGCATGAGGCGGCTCAACCGAAGTGCCCAGTGGCTGCGTTCAGATGTCGCCTCCTGTCTACTTTGGTACACCCCTCACACGTTTTGTGGCCGCATAGGGCGGCTCAACCGAAGTGCCCAGTGGCTGCGTTCAGATGTCGCCTCCTTTCCACTTTGGCATACCCCTCGCACGTTTCGTGGCCGTATAGGGCGGCTCCACCGAAGGCCCCAGTGCTTGCGTTCACATGCCGCCACCTGTCCACGTTGGCACATCCCTCGCACGTTTCGTGGTCGCATAAGGCGGCTCAACCGAAGTGCCCAGTGGTTGCGTTCACATGCCGCCTCCTGTCCACTTTGGCACGCCACTCGCACGTTTCGTGGCCCCGTAGGGAGCTTCACCGAAGGCCCCAGTGGCTGCGTTGACATGCCGCCTCCTGTCCACTTTGGCATACCCCTCAAGTTGACCGTCAAGGTATTTCCAGCCGTTATCGCCGAAAAGCAACATTACAATGTCGTTGGCACGCCTAGTCGATCGTCTCCTCTTCTACTTCGGCGGATCGTGGTCCATACGGGGAGCGTGAGGGGGGGAACCACCGTCTCGCACGCCTCTGGGCCACAAGGGTCCGAGCGGATCTTCTGCTTCCTCCGCCTCCTCTTCCTCCTCCTTCCCCTCGTCCGCATCGTGGTCGTCCTCCACTTCCACCTCTTGAGGCATTCCTCCTCCATGTGTTTTTGTTCTGCGGGACCTCATCATCAGTCCTTTCTGTCTGCCCCTCTTCGTGCTTGTGCAGCATCCCTTAGCAGCATCGTCATCCTTCTTGTCGGGTGCTCTACCGAGCCACTCTGGCCCAGGCTGTCTTAGATTAAGCACTCGGGCCCACGTTCGCCTCAATATCCATCTGCCTGTGGCAAACCCCGCCACCGTGCCAGCGCAGCAGCGCAATAGAAGAGATGGTGAGTCTGACACCTACTCCAGCGTAGTGATATGTCGGAACTGGCACAGGTCGTCAGCGCCTCCTTCCTTGTCCGCAGCCTCGTTCTCGTCTTCTTTCATCTTTCTGCTCGTTCCTCCTCGTTCTCCTCCCTCCTCCCTCTTGGTGACATATTGGGGGCTTATCGCAGGATTATCGGGGCCCTGTACGTGTGGGGTCCTGTCGTGAGCCCGATGGAGGCCCATCGGGGGTCTCAGGGTCGTCTTGGGCGCAATGGTTCTGGCCAGCTCTTCCGAAGAGGCTCGGTTGCAAATGGCCGCCTTGAAGCTTTCTTGGGCTGTCATGGTTGCGTTATCAGGCAAGCCTTGGGGCTCTATGGGAGCTCTCTTGGGGGAGTTTTTGATTGCATTTGGGCACGACTAGGAAGCTCTGAAGTTTTCCAGGCGATATCTAAAGCCGAACAGCATCTGAAACAAGCAAACACTTTGTTGTTCGTTCGGCTGTCTGTTGTTCCATGCGTTTCGCCTCGGAGGGCCTCGCTAGAGGCCTCGTCGGGCCCAGGCCGATTGGGAAACGTGGGAACTTTGGGATAGCGTGTCGTGCTGCTGGTTCTGACCCAGCACGCTTCGGCGCGGCACGCTATCCAACTTCCAGCCCATTAGTGGCAATGTCCCGCATTTTTCCCAGCCTCTTGTCCTGCGGAGTGGTGCGACAAGCGATGCGCTCGCAAGGCATAGTGCGTCGCCGGGGCCGCCGCCGCGACACGCTAAGCAAGAATTCCTGACCAGCAACTTGTGCAGATAGCGTTGCCTTTGGGGGGCTCCTGGGGCCGAATCTGATGGTCTCGTGGCGCCCTGCGGCCGTTTTTGGGGCGATCTGTCGCCGTCTTGGAGCCGTTGGTGAGGACACGGCGCCGGAGAGGAACACCAGAGGGGGAACGCTTTTTGACCCCAGTCCTCCTCCCTCCCTCCCTCCCTCCCTCCTCCTCCTCCTCCTCCTCCTCCTCCTCCTCCTCCTCCTCCTCCTCCTCTTCCTCATTCTCTTCCTCCTCCTCCTCCTCCTCCTCCTCCTCCTCCTCCTCCTCCCCCTCCTTCCTCCACGATTTCTCCCTCATCGACGAGTCCTTCCTCCTCCTCCTCCTCCTCCTCCTCCTCATTAGGTTGATCGGGCTTCAAGATCGGGACTCGCAGCGTTCGACCTCGATCCTCCTCCTTCCCCTTCTCCTCCTCCTCCTCCCTCCTTATCCTCCTCCTCCTCCTTCTCCTCCTCCTCCTCCTCCTCCTTCTCCTCGCGCGAGGGGGTGGGCCCGCTCTTAGAAGTCACTAGAACCCTATCCGACGAGCAACAAGCTTCCCAACACGCCCCAACGCGCCGAAGGCAGGGTGGCGGATAGCTACCGCGTTGCCGACTCGAGATGGTCGGAGCTTCGTCCGCGTGCACGTTCCTGGGCCTGCTCGGCGGCTTTGTTGCCGCTGTGAGCGGCCATGGCGTAACTGGCGCCAGCCAGGCGCGCGCACTGCTCCAGACGTGGGACGCCGCCCTGGACGGCACCAGGGCCAGCGCCAAGTCAACGCCCTTGACGAAGGTGGTGGACTTGCTCAAGAGCATGCAGGACACCCTGGAGAAGGATCGTGGGCGAAGCAGAGACTCGAGTAGGGAATCTACCACATAATAGATTTACCCCGCAACTTGATTCTTCCGTCGAATCTACGAACAATACGTTCTTTGTTCTAGATCCACAGAACACTCTTCGCATTCTCCGCAGACTCGGCGGACAGATAATGTCGGGATCAATCAATGATTCTGTGGTCGACCCCGTACTCGAGAGACGCGCACGACCGCTGGGCTGGGAGGGCCGCCCCTGGCGCCCCCCCCCCCCTCTTGCCGACCTCGGCCCCCGCGCGTGTCATCGCCCCTGGGGGGGTCGGGGCCGTCCCTGGGGGAGGGCCGCCCGAGGGGGGGCGGCCTCCTCGACCCAGCGGGTGTGGCTACGGGTGCCCCTGGCCCGAGGTGCCCCCCAGGACTGCCAAGGTTCATCCCTCACGCGGGCAGCTGGGGGCACCGGGCAAGGGACACCTTTAGCAGCGGTCGCAATCTGAGTGGGGATCGACTACCGAGTTGACTCACCCAACAAGTTGTTTGCTCGTCGACTCCGCTGCGAAGATTCTAAGTATTTGATTGGAGATTCGACGCACCAATCAGCTTTTAAGTAAATGAATGCTGCAGTCGATCGCCTACTTGAGTAATGGTCCCTCCTTCGCTCCTGTAAGGAGATGGACGAGGATCAGAAGTTGTACGAGAAGCTCAAGTGTTGGTGCGAGAAGAACGACTGGGCGAAGACCAACGAAATCGAGGACAGCGAGACCAAGATCCAGCAGCTGGAGGCGGACATCGAGTCCCTCTCGGCCAAGAAGGCCGAACTTGCCGCCACCATCAAGGAGGTGACGGAGAAGACGGCCGCCGAAAAGAAGGCCCTGGCCGAGGCACAGGCTCTGAGGGACAAGCAGCTGAAGGATTTCCACGCCATGGAGTTGGACAGCATCCAGGCGCTGGAGCAGCTCAAGGCTGCCCTCACCATCCTGGGCAAGCATCATGGCGAGGGAGTGTTCCAGCAGTTCGCTCCCATCTCGTTGCTGGCCACCGGCGGCAAGGACGAGCCCTGGACCGCGACGCACGAGCGGGCGCAGGTTGGCCGCGCCCTTGAGGAGTTCATGAGCCGCAACGAGTATTTTGGCCTGGAGAGCGCAGGGCGCACTTCCCGCGAGGGCAAGTTCTTGCAGCACGGCCCCGCCGCACTGTCCGCCAGCGACAGGGGCTCGCACCCTGCGGGCTGGACGGCGGAGGAGGCCGCCGTCGTCCACAGCGCGCTCAAGGCTGGGGCCGCCTTCGTCCAGGCGCACCACGAACAGGGCTACTATCCGTCGTACACCGCTCAGAGCGGCGAGATTGTCGGGATCTTGAAGCAGCTTAAGGACGAGATGGAGGCCGACCTGTCGGAGGCCCAGAAGGAGGAGGCCATGCGTTCGGAGGAGTTTGAGGCACTGCGCCAGGCGAAGACTGCGGAGATCGAGGCTGGAGAGAAGATGGAGGAGCAGAAGGAGGACGAGCTGGCCACGACCGCCAACGCCCTCGCCGAGGCCAAGGAGGACCTGGGCCAGGAGAAGGCCCTGCTGGCCGAGAACCAGGCCTTCCTGAAGAACATGAAGGAGACCTGCGCGGAGGCCGACGAGAACTGGGAGCGGCGCAAGAAGGCGCGCCGGATGGAGATGGAGGCGGTGGCCGAGACGATCGAGATCCTGACGGAGGACGAGGCCAAGGATTCAGTGGCCACGATGGGGGGGATACAGGCATAGGGGGGGGGATGCATCGACCCCCAACCGCCCTTTGATCGCCGATGGGGGCCCGATAGCCCCAACCTGCCCAGGAGCGTGGGGATTCGCCATCGGGGGGCCATCGCCAATCTATCGGTGACGTATCGCCGATTCCAGGTCGATGTTCCCCCTCCCTGTGCCAGTGCCCCCCGATCGTTGCCCCTCAAGGACGCAGCGGCGGGCACCTACAGCCTCGTGCAGCTCTCCTCGTCGCGCAGGGCGGAGAGCGCGCAGGCCAGGGGGCAGCGCAGGGCCGCGGCGGCCCTGCTGAAGCGGGCGGCGCTCCAGACCCACAGCCCACAGTTATCCATGCTGGCCACCGCGGTGGAGCTCGACGCATTCGAGAAGGTGAAGAAGGCCATCGACGACATGATTGTGATGCTGAAGAGGCAGACGGAGGACGAGGTGAAGAAGCACGACTGGTGCAAGGCCGAGTTCAAGGAGAATGAGATGACCACGCTGAGGACGGAGGACCGCAAGGCCGACCTCGAGGCCAAGATCGCGGAGCTGGAGTCCGCCATTAAGGCGCTGGAGGCCGACATCGTCAAGGCCACGCAGGAAATCGAGGAAGCGCAGGTCGCGCTGCAGAGCGCAAGCCTCACCCGCAAGGATGAGAACTTGGGCTACCAGAAGGTGGTCGCCGACCAGACTGTCGTCATTGATGTTCTGAAGAAGGCCGCGAAGAGGATGGCAAAGTACTACGAGAGCGAGTCTCTGCTCCAGCGCAACAAGGGCACTGAGGACCCGGCGCCGGGGTCGGTGGCGCCGGTGGCGCAGATGGAGTACAAGCCGAGCTCGGGCGCAGCTGGGGTGATGCAGATGCTCGAGAAGCTGATCTTGGAAGCGAAGGAGCTGATGGCAGAGTCCAAGTCCTCTGAGGGCGAGGCCCAAAAGGCGTACGAAGAGACCATCGCCAGCACGAACGCCCAGATTGCCGATCTGCAGACGCTGGTGACCGTCAAGTCCAAGGCAAAGGCCAAGGCAACGAAGGACAGGATTCAGGCCGAGGAGGACCTGACCGCCACCGTGCTCGAGCTCGAGGGCCTCGGGAAGTACAAGGCAGACTTGCACGCTGAGTGCGACTTCCTTCTTCACAATTTTGACACCCGTCAGGAGTCTCGCGGTGCCGAGGTGGAGGCGTTGCAACAGGCAAAGCAGATCCTCAACGGTGCCCAGCTGAGCGGGCTTTAGAAGACACTCTTGTCCTAGTGGCCGTCGTGCTCATCATTGTAATTACATTCGGCGCCCTCCTCTGGCTGGTCCTATTCATCAACATCCTCGCTTGGCAGGCTGTGGCGCTCATTCTATTTTGGTGAGCCTCATGGCCAGCCTGAGGAAGCGGATATCATCGACGGGCTTGCGAGTCACATGCTACAGATGTTTTCCAACACATGTAATAGTATCAGACAGGTGTGCTTTGCTATCATGGGTCTCAGGGTTGGGTCTGCACGTGCCTGGCCACTATGATTCGCTCATCAAGTTTATTGAATCGGCGAGCTTCCATGGCGATCGGCCCCTGTGTTGCCCACATGGCTTCTCGGGGCGTAGCCATGTTGCTTCAATGCGATGTGGTCTTTGTTATTGCTGTGCCCCACTGGGTGCTTGTGTTGTGGATGGTTGTCAGGTGCCATGGCTGTTGACGTCTTATCGCAAGCGTTAACGCTAGAAGAAATGTTTGCCAGCTTGGACCCCAAACATTGGGTGTTGCATTCTGTAGGCGGAGTATCGAAGACGCCTACGGCGAATAACCGCTGCCCCCTGCCTTTTGGAATGGCCTATGTGGCCGAGCGTTGTGGCAAGAGCTCTGAAAGCTATCGGATCATGTGTTCCCCCAGCCGTTGCGGAAACTCTTCGGGGAACACTTGGGGGAGGATGGCGGAGAAGATCACGAAGAGGAGGAGGAGGAGGAGGAGGAGCAAGAGAAGGAGGAGGGGGCATCTTTGGAGCCTCTGGGGGCGCTGTTGGGGCCTCCTGGTAGCTTTCTGGGGGCCTCTTGGACGCGTCTTGGGTGGTCTTGGGGGCCTCTCTGAACTGATTTGGGGCCCTCTTTGGGTGCTTCAGGGTCGACTTGGAGACCATCTTTGGCGTCTTTCAGGCCTCTGGGGCCGTTTTGAAGCCCTCTTGAGGCCGTCTTGGGGGCCTCTTGGGCCGCCATGGGGCCATATTGGAGGCCTCTTGGGCGATCGTGGGGCGATCTTTGGGGCCCTTTGGGCCGTCTAGGGCCGTCGGAAGGCCGAAAACACATGATTTTGCTTCGAGCGATCCCCACCGAAACCTTCGGCGTTTATTCCCAACGATGCTCGCGCCTACTGAAACGATGTGCGCGGGGCCCGGCGGTCTTGGCCAGCGCGTTGGCCGGGCCAGGTCGCAAGTTGATGTTTTCCGAACGTCTAACAACCCCAGGGCCTCTGACGGAAGAAACCGAAACAAGTCCCTGGAATGACAAACCAGCCCTCAAAACGAGTCTTGCGAGACTCCCAAACTTGTTCGGACAGAATCTGCAACCTGCGAAAGAGGAAAATGAGGAGCAAGCAGCACGAGGAGGAGGCGGATGACGAAGGAGGAGAAGGAGATGGAGGATGAGGAGGAGGAGGAGGAGGAGGAGGAGGTGAGGCGAACCTCTCCTTCCTCCTCCTGCTCCGGACGCCCCGTCCTCCTCTGACAACGGGGCGCACGTCGCGTTTGATGAGACGCCGTGAAGTGGTGGCTGGCGTATACGTAAGAGAGTGCTGCATTATGTTCGTTTCGATCCTGACCCAGTGTAGTACATGACATCAGGTTCTGTTATGTTATGTTGTGAACTGGCCGGCGCGACGACGTGACTCCTTTCACGTTTGTTATGGTTTCTAACAGGTCGTTGTTACTATCTGTTTCTGTGGCCAGCCTGGGTTTGGCGCGCATGTCGCTTATGACACTTGCCAGTGCTCGGTCTCTGCTGAATTATACTCTATCGCGTTGTGTTTGATTCTGTTCTGTTCTATGCACATATGCTTGTTCCTTTTCTGATCTCGACGGGGCGGCGTGACGTCGTGACGCCTGTCGCGTTTGATATGTCGTCCAAACGGTCGTTGCCCCGCCTATTTTTTTCCTGTGGCCAGGCGCGGATGCTAGTGCGCCCCTGATTCGTCGTTGCTGCATGTAGCAGCGTTCAAGTATGTTGTACTCGGTAAGGTTTTATCCTGCCATGCTACAATATGATAAGTTATGTTGTCGACGGACCGGCGTGACACCGTGACGCCTGTCACGTTCGATACGTCGTCCGATCGGTCGTTGCTGCACCTTTTTGTACTTGTGGCCGGGCTGATTTCGGCGCGCACGTCGCGCTTTATTATATAACGGTGCGCTTTAGTATGTTATGGAGTTCCTCTTAAAGTTTATGTTTCTCTTCTGCCGAAGTATGATCTCTCATGTTCGACTCTTTCAGTATGACTTGATATGATGAGATATGATCTAATATGTGGCACCACGTTACGGCATGGTACGTCTGATCTGTCAGCTTCAGTTACTGGATGCTGTGATCTGTACTGATGTTCAGGGTATGCTCAGCTCTTTATAGTATATTGCATGCAGTTTCAGCTGATAATGTGATGTCTGAGCTGTTGACGTAGGGGGTCGCAGTAGTACAGCAGTTATGTTATTTGATGGTGTTTACGATGTGTTCTATCAGTTTTAGTAGGCTGATTTGAGAATGTTCTAATACCTTGTGTTATATCATGACTGTTTTGTCCTCGACGGGCTGGCATGACGCCGTGACGCCTGTCACGATAGATACATGGTCCGATCGTTTGTTGCTGCGCTTGTTTGCTCATGTAGCCAGCCTGACCTCGGCGCGCACGTCTCTTTTTTCTACTCGTGTAATGCAATACGTGATATTGTGATGAAATGCTTTGACACGTTATGGCGTGCTGCGAGTGTGTGTTATTGTACGATGTGTCATGCCATTGGGTGAAATGGTATGCCCTGTTCTGTTACGCTATGTTATGGTGCGCTTTGCCCGTTTTTCCTATGCGGTGTGGTGTTATGTTATGCGCTGTATGCTCCATATTGTCAGTGCATGCGTTGTTATGGTGTGTCCTGTTATGTCCTGTTCTGGCATGCTATGATATGGTATGCGTTGCTCTTGCACGGTGTTGGGATACATCGTGCTATGCGATGGTATAATGTGTTGTGCCGCGCTCGGTCATGGTATGCTTTGCCATGTGATGGAATGGTGTACGCTTTGATATTGCGCTACGGTGTGATATGTTCTGCCATTGTATGGTACGGTATGATGTGTTGTTTGATCGTATGTCGTGTCATGGTATTTGGTGTTGCGATACGAAGTGTGGTGTGATGGCCTGTTCTATATGATCAGCTATGGCAGAGCTGACGGTGTTATGCTGTCCTGTGTTCTGCGATGCTGTAACATAGTACGCCGCGCCTTATCATGCTATGATATGTCATACAGTGGGGGCGCGTGCCAAGAAACCAGTTGGATTTTGCCAGGGTGCCCTGGGTTTCTTGGATTAAGATGGGCCCCCCAGTAAGATCTGGACGATTTTCGATCGACTAAGTTGGATTTTCATTGAACAAATCGCGGATTTCAGGGTTGGGTTTCTTGCGGAGGTTTCTTGTGGCCGAGCCCCCACTGTATGTGTTGCGATGCTATATGTCATGCTATATGTGCTGTGATGCTGTGTTGTGTTAAGGTGTGGTCTGCAATGGTATGTGATGCGTTGATATGTTATGGTATGGTACGGTGCGGTATGATATGTTAAGTCATGCTATGTATGCCCCGGTCTGTCATAGCATGTGTTGTTATGTTGTGTTATGTCATGTTGTGATGTGTCATGTTATGTTGAGGCTGTGGCATACTATGGTTTGGTATGTTAAGTGTTGCGGTGTATTATGATGGCATGCTTGCTTTGTCAGGATATGCAATGTGATGTGCTGTGATGCAGTGCTAGGGTTTGCACTGCTCTGTCATGATGTGTTATGCTACAACGTGTTATGTCATACTATGGGATGGGATGCTCGGACATGTTCTGTTGAGTGGTGTGGTGTTCTGCGCTGTTATGTCATGGCTTATCGTGTTGTGCAGTATTATGTTGTGCTATGTTATAATACCACTCGGTCACGTTGTAATTGGCCGGCGCGGAGCGGGACACTCGGGGATGTTCGGGGGACCTGGGGATCAGGCGGCCCTCGGTGTGCAGGGGTGCGCGAGGCGGAACTCTCGGGGATACGTCTCTGGGTTTGGGGGGGCCCGAAAGAGTCACGGGACAAGACTCGACGGCGTCTGGGAGGGGCGCCTGGAGCCCTGAGAATTTTGGGCCCGGGCCTCGTAAGAGTTTTTCGTCACTAGGATTTGGGATTACAAGGGACCTGAGGACACTCCACTTTGTGCCACAGGGGCACGGTGGCGGAGATGTGGTGTAAGCTATGTTGGGCAAGCTGCGTGGTGTGAGATGTTTGATGCGACCTAGACTGGGGCAGCTATGCGGTGTGGGCCGTGCCGTGCAGTGAGGCCGTGCGTCGTGACCCAGATGGTTTGAGCTATGCTGTGTGAGCTATGCGGCGTAAACGGGGTGAGCCATGTTGGGTAACCCACGACACCCAGCCAGAGAACACGGGGCTCCCACGAGACGGCACGGGCGCGGGCGTTGCAACACCTCGTCGCGCCCGCCCACGGCACGGGGCGCCCACCGAGGCGCCCACGGCGGCGTCCACGGGCGCGAGCGAGGCGCGGGGGCCTCTGCGGACCAGGCCCGGGGCACGGAGCGCCCGCGAGCGCCGTCGCGATGCGATGTGAGCCGTGTTGTGTAAGCCATGCGTTGTGACCGAGGTGGTGTGATGTGAACTATCTTGTGCAAGCTGTGCGGCGCAAGCTGTGCGGCGTGAGTTACGGTCGGACCGGGGTACATGATCGAGGTCGGCTCGGGGGGAGGGCACCCTCATGGTCTTCGTGTCTGTTGGATGCTCTTGTGCATCCTGGGCGCGGGGTGCCCCCTCGAATGCTCTTCAGTTTGGTCTGCGGAGGGTCCCGTGTTCTGGAAGGATGTTACTATATCCTAAGTCCGACCGTCCGTTGTGTAAGCCATGCCACCCAAGCGCAGCACGGGGCTCCCACGAGCGCCCAGGAGGCGGCACGGGCGCGAGCGAGGCGAACCCTCGGCGGACCCACCGAGATCGCGAGGCACCCACTGGCGCGAGCGTGGCGAACCAACGGCGGACCATCCCAAGGAAGCGAAGCGAAAACCCTTCGGTGCAAGCACCGCTTGGGGAATGTTCCTCGTGCGCCTGCTCGTCCTGAAGTCCTCGTCCTCCTCTGTCTCATGCTCCGCCTCGTTCTCTCCGAATTATTCTGGGGCATACAAGAACGCACATTTTCGGAGATCCGCGCGGGCTGCGTGGATCTGCGCGAGAATCCCCTGGCGGCGCCTGCGGCGGCGTCCCTGGCGCGGCCCGCGCGCGCCCAGCGCCGATCCACGGAATCCGTGTGGAGCTCCGACAGTTTGTGCTTATGCCGTTCGTTATGTCTCTACGGTGGGGGCGTTAGATGAGAAATGCGTCCAGGAGGCCTCAGTCCCTGGGGGGATTCCCTTTCTGATGAGGGCGGCGGCGATATCCACGGCCAAGCCTCAGATGGTGTGCCTCCAGCTTCCAGGCCTTGGAGTCCTCATCCAACGATTCCCTCTCCAGTGCCCTCACCGTAGTCTTTCTCTCTCGCCCTCCTCTCCCTCCTCCTCCTCCCCCTCCTCCTCCCCCCACCCTAGAATGTGGTGTTCGCGCGCCCACAATCTCAGTGCCAGGAGCGACGCTGGCGAGTGTAACGAGCAGCTCACGCTCAGATGCTGCTGCGCATCCCTCAAGGCATCGAACCGTTGGCTCGCAAAGGTTCTTGCCTAGTCCCTCCTCCTCCTCCCTCCACGGCCCACCCCTCCCTCCCTGCGCTGCCGTCCGCCTCGGCGCCGTCCCCGCCGTCCTCGCTGCCCGCGCCTGCCACTGGCCCTCCCTCGAGCGGGAGGGGGGGGCTTGGCATCGCTCGGACGTGTGCATGTTTCTCGGCGAGGACCATCGAGGAGCATCCTGTGTTATCTGGCAAAAACAGCACGCACAACACCGAAACATGCACGGGGGAATGGACCTCCGAGCGATGGCAAGGGTGCGAGGGGGGGGGGAGGAGGACGAGGACAAGGGCGGGGACGAGGAGCTGAGTAGGAGAGGGTATGTCGGCTTCGGAAAGCTGTCCAGCGGTTGAGGCGCGATGCACTGGGTGTCGCGCCCGCTGGCGCTCGGCTACAATGAAACAGTATGAATACTACTCTCCCTGTTCCCCTGAGGCAATCCGGAAGATCTCCCGCCCAGTCCGCTTGGTTTGTTTACACACCGGATGTCAAAAGTTGTTTGTTTTGAAAATTCTGCGGGTTTGTCGGAGTCCAATTGTTTTTTGTTGCGTCGAAATGGTGTTCCCGCTGCTGCTTGGGCCTCATGTTCAGATCGGCGCTTTGCTCCCGTCGTTCAGGAAGGCGCTCTCGCCCCAGCGCGGGCCACTCTTCTGAATCTGAGTCTTTCTTTATCGTTGCCGACCCCCTCATTTCTCCTCCTCCGCCTTCCCCTGGTCCTCGTTTTTCTCCCTATACTCCCGCTTTAGTTAATGTTGTTGCTGCTGTTTGTCCTCATCCTTTTCCCCCCGCTCGTGCTCACCCGCCACCTCTTCTTCCTGCGCACGCAGCTCCCCTTTTTTCCGATTGCGCAGAACACGAAATGGTCTTCGTGTGGAAGTCGCAGGTCGGCTATGACACGCGTCCGCGGAGAATGAACAGTCAGCACCGCAGGAAGGGATGGGAGGGAGGCGTAGGATGTCAGATGGGGCGCGAGCGTACCTAGCTTGGCTGTACTTCTCGGCCTCCGCCTCTACCCCCACCCCTGCCCCCTCGTCTGCTCTCCCCCCTTGGTTTTTGGCATCGCGGGCTCACTTTCAGTCGCAGCGTCCAGGGGGGCTGCCCGACGAAGGGGGTGGGGTGCGCGCGTGCTTCTAGACCAACTAACATCGAGGAAGCACAAACATGGATTGAGGCGCGTGGATCAGCGACGCGTCCCGCTGCCATGCAAACTCGGCGCGTTCCCTCGACAAGGCGGCTGGCGTTGGCCTCAGGTTCCGGGGGGTACCTTTACCGATGCGTGGATTAGGCGCCCACGCGTTGGATCCACGGATCCGTAATCCACGTGGACGTTCGCCCGGCAAGCAAGCAGTGGCGAGGCGCCGTGACCAGCCTTTGAGTCCCACAAAGGAATGTTCTACTAATCTCTTGTGGTTCCCACGAATTGTTATCATACCAGCACTGGATGAGACAGCATGGTCGAAGTACCTCGGTTTCTAGATTTCAAAGAGCATGTCTAATTCTGTTGCTCGATCATTGTCTGTTCCAAGGCCATGCCGTGGTAGGCCTGCAGAAATGCCAGGACGGCCGGCCGCTGTCCAAGACGCGTAGCAACAGCTCAAGGGATGCCCGGCTCCTCCGCGGCGGCCAGATGTCCAGCGACGTGCGAGGCCTGTGGCTCCTGGTGCTGCTGGGCTTGCTGCGGGGCGGGCGCTGCGCCTCCCTACCGCCCGACGTCACGTCCGCGGGGGCCTTCAACAGCTTCGCCAGGACGCAGTCCGACTCTTAGCTGCCTCGATACGCCCGTTTTGACACGCAACACGCACCGTGCTCAAAACGTTTGTGTCGATACGTTGCGAGTTGGTTCAGCGTATTTGCCCACGTTTTGGCGAACGCATCCTCTCAGACCTACGTGTTCAGTCTACGTGTTGCGCTCCGTGTCAACACGCTACGTGTTGCGTGTTGCGTATCAGGACAGCTAAGGTCCGACTATGACGTGGGCGTGGTCATCCGGTATGCGCGCTTGCACCTCTCGATGAAGAAACAGCGGCATTAACATACATTTTCGGAGCTCCGCGCGGACTTCCAGGATCGGTGATGGGCCCTTGGCGGCGCCTCTCGCGCCGCCCCTGCACCAGCCCGAAACAAATTCCTATCCTCGTGATTGGCATCACCTTGTCCATATGGCGATCTTAAGGGTTCCATCAGTTTCTGAGGGTGCAAAGCGATAAGTATGAGCTCGAGGCTGGTTACCCCTAGTGCGCTCCGCTCGCCAGGGAGGGGGGGCCCAGCGCCGATCCGAGAACTCCGCGCGGGGGTCCGAGAGTCTACGCTGATGCAGTTTTTGTTTGTTCCTCGGACCTCTGCTGGGCGCACAGCTGCTGCGACCCGCGGCACGGCCCCCGGGGCGACCCGAATTGCTGGGACGAGATCTACAGCTTCGACATGTGCTGCCGCCCCGAGGGGAGCCAGCCCGCCGGGGCCCGTGCCGCCTTCGCCGGGCAGGTGGGCGAGGCAGAGCAACGGGGTCGTCTGCGCGGACACTGGCGCGCAAGCTGCCCGCGAAAGGTCGCGCGTAAGCGCCCTCGCTTCCAATGTGACGTGCCGCGCTGGCGGCCTAAGTCATCCGTTGCGCCACCGTGCGTAAGACTAAGACCCGTTTGTTTCCTTCGCGCGCCTCCCAGGCATCCACCGATACGCCTTTTTCAAGCGCGGTCCCAGAGGTCCCGACCCTTTCCTCGGGGTTCATGTTTTGGTCCCAGACCCGTGTTTGATGGTCCCGGCGCCCATCGACGGGCCCCGGAGGCCGAAATCGTGGAACACGCCCCGATAAGAAAGCCTCAGCTCGTGGGAGATATGGGACCTCGCTTCCAATGTGGCATGCCGCGCTGGCGGCCCGCGCAAGTCGCTCTGTCACTGTGCGTAAGACCTGTTTGGGGGGAGCCAGAAGGACCAATACCGCTACGGCCCGGACATCTCCTAGAGCGCATTCCGACCAGAATTTCGAGGCGAGTCCAGCCGAGGCGACGGGGGCCCCCCCGGGAGCCTCAAAAAGCGGAAGCGAGGGGAAAGGAACGTGATCGCCACATGTTCCTCCTCGGAGTTTTTTGTTTCGTCGCTCAGGGGGCGAGCCACATGTGGAAGCGCGCCATGTCATGTCACGCCCGCGAAGGTGGAGGATCAGGAGGCGGAGGAGGGGGACGAGGAGCTGAGGTGGGAAGGAGGAGGGCGGAGGGATCCCCAGGCTCGAGGGGGCGCCCATACGCTGCGCTCCGCGTCGCGCGTGGGCCCCCCCGCGCCCCAGCCCTGGCCGCGCCATCACCGGCGGGGCAGCCCTGGCCGCCCCGCCGGTAGCTGGCGCAGCTCGCTCGGCACGATCATGCGCGCTGCGGCCAGTGATCCCGATGGGGAGTCTGAGGGGGCTCGGGTTCGGGACCTTGTAGACGTCACGACGGTGCTGGGTGTGGGGGCCACTGGGCAGGGGAACCGTTGACGACCCACCCGGGGGGCACTGACTTTGCGACCCGCCTGGCACCCACCCCCCTCTTGCGCAGGGTCGCTGTCCGCAGATCGCCTGGCGACGAGCGTGCCGTGGTAGTGGCCCAGCCGCGCGCCCTGGAGGAACGCCCCCGGGCTCCCCCAGGGGCTCTCTCGGAGCTGGTGAGCCTACCTGGAACGCGAAGGTTACGTCCAACACGCCGCCCAGCACAGAGGCACCCAACGGCGGTAGCGCCGGTCGCGCAGGGAGCCTTCAGGGGCAGACGGAGCTCTGTCCACCTGTCTGCGCGGCACTTAGCCGCACACCTGGCCTTTGTGCCGGCCGCCTGGCGGCCCTGGAAGCGAGGGACCCTGCGGACCCAGGCTTTCGCGCTTGGCTTCTCGGGGACCCCCCAGTTCCCGTTGGAGGCCACATCGACGAGTCGTTCGACGACGCCGCTCCTGGATGGCAGGCTCGGCAACCCGCCAACGCAGCAGGCCCCCCAGAGCGCGACGCGGTCAACCCCGACCGACTGCATGCGAGGAGCCTGTCTGCGCAGCAGTTTGCCCCTTCCCTGGTCCGATCGTTCTGGGGAAGGGCGACCTCCTGTGTGATAGTGCTTCCGAGCGTCACGTACCCTGGTTCAGTCTTGGAGTAGAGGGCTTACGGCGAGCCTGCCCCCCCCGACCGCGATGCCGTGCCGCAGGCGGGCAGGCTCTTATCGGCCAGTCTGCGCGGCAGTGTGCCGGGTCCCTGGCGCTCCGAGCATGAAGATGGGGACCAGAGCCGTTCCCGCGCGCTGGGCTCCCCGTGGCGCGGCGCGGCCAACCCATGCTGCGGTTCCCACTTGACGGCGCGACAGTTAGTTGCAGCCCTGGTTGGCATTTTGGTCGGAGGTCATCCCATGAGGCGGGGGCGCGGAGTTGGAGGACCGCGATAAAGAGCCTACCGGCAGCCCCGCTCCCCTTGTCGACGCCGCGCCCCTGCCCCGCTGCCAGCCCGTTCGGGCCCCTGTGAAGCCAACCCAGGCTGCGCCAGTGACCCGCGGGTTGGAGAGCGCACGTGCCCACCTGTCTGCGCGGCAGTCAGCCGCATCCTTGGAACGAGGAACGGCGAGGACGCCCGCTGGCACCGCGCGGGCACGGACGATGGCAGGGCTGCTTTCGAGCCCAGGTCCCCAGCTGGCTCACTTGACGAACCAGGAAATGGAGTCGCCGCATCAGGCCCTCGCGCCTGTCGCCTCCCTCCCATGAGGAGGCTCCGCAGGGCCCCGCAAGCGACCCGCCAGGCCACGGAGTGACCATCGGAGACAGGGGTGATGATGCGCCCCGGCCCAGGGCGGACGCCGCGCTCGGAACACGCGGAGCCGAGCTGACTATCCGAGCTGACGGCGTCGCCCGAGCTGCCTGCGCCCGCGCCCGACGCGCGCAACTGCAATTGGGGGCCGGGGCCGCGGGTGCTTGCCCAGAGACCAACCCCGGGAACCTGGAGCAGCAGCAGGACAGGGATGTCGGACAGCGCAGGGGCGATCGGCCAGGCTAGGCAGCACGGAGCAGGCGCAGGTAGTGGCTAGAGGTCCCACAAATTCTCCTAACACGATCAAGGCATATCTGTTGGAGGAAGAAGAGCACGAAGGCAAACTATCTCTGTTGCCTGCCGGCAAGACGCCCCCACTGGTCTGTTTTCGAAGTAGGCAGAAGAAGGTCGGCAGGCGGCGATGCATATTTTCGCGCAGCCACCGAAGATTACTTCTACCCAGCGCCTGATGCCGAAGGTGTTTTGATGAGCCCACTGGTAGGGCCGTGCGTTCGGGTTTCGATTGTGCGTCGGGGCCCCAGCGTCATCGAAGACAATGAAGGAACGCAGATGCTGTTGTCCGCCATCAGTCCCGTCGGAATCCACATGGTTAGCCGTGTCCCCCTCGGCCAAAAACAGGGCCCACCCTTGCGCGCACGCGCGCAGGGGGGGGCTCGCGGGGAGAGGGCGCAGACCGCCCGGCGAGAAACTCGCAGCTGTTTTCTTTGAGTGCACACATGTTGTTGATGACGACACGCAGTCGCACTTCGACAGCATCGCACAATTGCTCGCAGCCGCCCGTCGCAACAACATATAGTACCGCCTTGTGGAATGTTACATGTTCAAGAATATGGTTTTCTTGTTGCGTTTCACTTGCGGTAAGCATGGTTGGTCCGCGGATCTGCGTCAGGTGGCACTGTTCTGGTCATGGCATATATATATATATATATATATATATATATCGTATCGGGTGCACGTGCACATGGTGGTTCACTAGTCAATGGTCCTGGTCGTCATCGACGTTCGCAGTAGGTGTTGTGTTGTTCATTACTGTTGATGCTTGTTGGTGGTAGTAGGTCGGTGGGCGGTTCTTGTTCGTGCTAGGTGGTCTTCGGTGTTAGGTGTACTAGGTAGCGCAACGCGGTTCGTGCCCGTCCTAGAAGCAACGCCGCAAAGTGCACATCTCGTACACGAGGCGTCGTTTTTCGTGACTAGCTTGTTGCGGCTCGGCAGTTGGAGGAGCTCGCAGGTGGTAGTGTGTCCTAGATGCTGGGAGGCCTATGTCAGAGAGTGGTCAGTGACGGTACCTCCTCGTGTATACATATTTATCATGTTGCCCATCACCAAACAACACAGTTCTTTTTTCTTGTTGTCTGACTCATTCCTGCAAGTCGCCCATGCTGCAAATAAGAGCGCAATCTCTCTGGGCCTCTCGTTCGAGACTTCCTCTCATGATGTGGAGCCTTCACCCCCCCCCATCTCCCTCTCCGACCCCCCCCCCCCCGCCCCCCCCCCCCCCCCCATCGGGGCGCCCCCCTCTCTCTCTCCCCCCCCCCCCCCATCGGAGGCGCCAGGGAAGCCCTCTGGAAGCCCTTCGGCGGCAAGCCAGGGGAGCCCTCTAGAAGCCCTTCTTCGGCAAGTCAGGGAAGCCCTCTAGGAGCTCTCAAGAGGCCTCTCTCTCTCTCTGTCTCTGTCTCTGTCTCTGTCTCTCTCTCTCTCTCTCCTCTCTCTCTCTCTCTCTCTCTCTCTCTCTCTCTCTCTCTCTCTCTCTCTCTCTCTCTCTCTATATATATACATATACATATATATATATATATATATCTTTCTCGTTCCTTCTCTCTCTCTCTCTGTCTCTGTCTCTGTCTCTGTCTCTGTCTCTGTCTCTGTCTTTGTCTCTCTCTCTCTCTCTCTCTCTCTCTCTCTCTCTCTCTCTCTCTGCTGCCGTTTTTGCCCAGGTGCCCCCGTCGGTTTTTTTTTTCGCGGCAGCAGGGCGTGGCCAAAGCGCGGAGAGCTCCGGCTAACTGGCGCTCGGCCAAAGCTGGCGCGCGCGGCAGCTGCAGCAGCTACCCCTGCCCTCGGCGCCCTGGCGCCTGCGCCCGCGCGCAGCTCGACGGGCGTGCGTTTATTCCCCCTTGGTCAAGCACTCGCCCCCGCTGCCTGCGCTGGTGGAGTTCGTTGAAAGGTGCCGTGCAGCCGCCGAGCCCGAGCTGCAGCAGCTCTGCGTGGACGTCGGCATGTCCCGCTCTCGCTCCATCATGAAGCCCCACCCCTGGCCCCGCTGGCAGGAGGCGAACCTCGGCTGCGAGGGGGCGCGGGCCACGGCGCTGAAGGGCGCGGTCGAGGGCGACGACGCTGGCCTGAAACTCTCCAAGCACGAGGGGGGGAACTGCCGCGCGGCACTGCGGGGGTTGGCCGAGCGGCCCCGCGGGTCAGCGGCGCCGAGGGCGGCGGTGCACCTCGCGCCCGTCAAGAAGGTTGCGCCCGATGCCGCGCGCCCGGCAGTGCGAAGCGCAAAGCAGCACAGGCCAGCTGTCTCGCCCCCCCCCCCCCCCCCGGGCGGAGGGGGGGGGGGGGGGGGGGGGGGGGGGCGGAAACTCCAGATTCTGATGTAAATCCTGAACTGGAAATATTAAGTTCTTTAAGCGAAAGCTATATGAACTAATGGCAATAAAGATGATAATCTTTTATTGCTTTGACTTGAGCCAGTACGTTACAGTACGGTACTGCTTCT